CTCGCCGCCGCCGCCGCCGCCACGCAGGAGCCGGGCGCGGGCTGGCGGGGCCTGGCCACTCGCGCAGTGGAGACGCGGGACGCCGACGGCGGCGTCTCGGTCACCTCCCCGCGCTTCGCCGACACGGGGGCCGAGCCGCGCGCCCACCCAGCCTTCGGGCGCCTGCAGGCCGGCGCCGGCTGGGCGGCGGCGGCGCAGGAACCCCACGATCTACCGCAGTACCCGCCGCAGTACCCGCCGCAGTACCCGCCGCACCCGCAAGGCCTGCGCTCCCCGGCCCGGGCCGGCTACCCCCCGCCGCACCCCTCGCCCCCCCGCCTCGCGGGCAGAGGCCCGGGCCAGTCCGCCTCCAGCCAGGAGCCGGTGTCCGGGGCGTCGCCCTCTCCGGCCGCCTCCGCCAGCCTGTTCCCGGGGCCGCATGAGGAGCTGCTCAGCGCGCTGGGGCACCCGCCGCTGCGCATCATCACCCACCCCAAGCCCATAGGCGGTGAGTGTGTGTGATGTTGAGGAGTGAGGAGTTTGTTGGGGGTGGCGGATTAAATGCCCTGACGCTCTGTCTACTCCCTTATAAGTCTCCTGGCCCAGTCTTCCCAAAAAAAAAATCCCTGCAGGCCGCTACGCGAGGGACCCAGTCCAGCCGGTCGCGCTCTCCTGGCCGCCGTCCTCGCTGCTCCTGGCGGGGGAGGGGCAGGGCCAGCACCAGCCGCAGCACTAACGGCTGGATGGGGGTCCTGCCGATGAAGGGACCCCGCGACCGTTTGCAAGCGCCGCCAGGGCTGTGCATGGCGCGTAGCAACGTGTACCAGCAAGCGAGACCTCTCCCCGTGGTGCTGGTTCGCTGTAGAATACATTCTTGCACTGCATACTTGATGGCCCCGCAGCAGCTGCAGTTGCGAGGCCCCGTGCCGAGCTGACTGGCAACCACCACACACTTTGCTGTTCCATAGATTGGCCCTTTGCCTTGGCCACCCCCCATGGGGTGAGCACCGCCGGCTCTCTGTACCTTTTCAGTCCCTAGCCCTGACATGTGCCAAGTCCCGTCACAGACCCTGCCTCCTTTGAGGGGCTGTGACTGTAGAAGTCGATCCCGTGTTTTGCAATTTGATTGTTGTTGTACATACAGACGCTGCAGTGTCAGGTGGCGTATGTCGTGAGATGCTGGAAAGGAGGCGCAGCGGCCTGCTTTGAGCCAGCCACAACCTCCTTTTCTTCGCCGCGCGTCAGACAAAGTGTTTCGGGAGCAGGTGCGACTTGCGCACCCCCTTGCCGCACGTGGGGCACTTGAACTTGGCCAGGGCCCCTAGCCAGCAGGCATAGCAGGCCAGGTAGCCGCAGGAGGCCTCGTAGGCCGAGCTCATGGGGACCTTGCCGCAAATAGAGCAAGGGGGAGTTGGCGCGGGCGCGCCTGCGCCAACAGGGCGTCGAGCGGGGGCTGCTCGGCCGGGCGCAGGCTCCGCCCCGCCAGACCACGCCGGCACCTTACACCCGGCGGCAGTGCCACTTCCCAGTCCCGGTCTGGCCGCGTTGGTCGCGTTGGCCAGGGCCACCCGAGGCCTGGCCGAGGAGCGAGGCCCTGTTGTTGGGGCACCAACCGTCGCACGACCATCGGGCCCGGGCATGAGCGGCGCGGGCTGTTGTGTGACTGGCGTCGCGCGCCCCGGCCCCGGCTGCAGCCTCTCCACCTGAGGGGGAAGCGATGCACCCTGGGCGCCGCCGCCGCCGCGGCGACTGGACGGCTGGGCTGGTCTTCCTAGCACGGACTTCCCTACCGTCTGGCGTGCCGGAGCGACCGATGACCCAAGCGGTGACGGCCCGTCATGCAGGGGAAGGCGTTCTCCATCGCCCGGCACCGCCCAGGCCGAGTCTGCGCTGGGGGCCGGCCTGCGAGGGATGGCGATGTGAGGAGGGGTGAAATGCTGGCTTTCCAGGAGCAGTCTTGCCCCAGGGTGGGAGCTCGCGCTCCCGATTCGCTGCAGAGGGCAGGGCAGGACCCGCCACGAGCCGCTGCTCACCCGATGCGGTTCCTAAAGCCGGCCCGCTCGGCCTTGGGTAGGAAGAGGGAGAATCCCGCCAGCAGGGCGAATTGCTCGGGCCGGTCGAGCGTAGCGATCACGCTGGCCACCAGGGCCTCCCTGTCCCGGCTGGCCTGGTAGGCCTGCAGCGCGGCGTTGATGCGCCGGAAGAGCTCCTGTGGTGGGGAAAAGGGGGTGAGCTGGATGTGTGGCTGGCGACGCATTTCGGGGTCCAGATCCATGTGGTGGGTGCGGGTGTGTCCAATGCATTCCCGAGTGAACATCCCCCCCACAGCATTTCTTCGCAATCTCAGGCACTCACGGGGGCAAGGCCGGCCTTGAGCTGGGCCATGTACTCCTTGACTGTCAGTTCCCGGGAGGGGAGCGTGGCGGAGGTCCCGTGGGGCGCCGGCCTGGTGGGATCTGGAGGGGGCCCTGGTCCCGACGGCTGGGCGGCGGAGTGTGGTTGCTGGCTGATCGACCCATCTGCGCCACTCCTGCCATCAGAAAGCCCCGTTGTGCCGACCACAGCGCCTGTGTCACCCGCCTGGGAAGGTTCTGCCTCGTCGGGCGCCCCGCTTTCCACTCGAGCCGCGGTGGGGCGCGCGGTGCTCGCTCTGCCGGGGTGCGGGGGGTGGAGGAAGGGGATGAGAGGTGCAGACGCCAGCCAGCGGTGCTTAGACAGCATGCACATGCGCTGAGCGGGGAAGGGGGGGACTGCCGATCGGGTACGATCACGCCGTACCTTTGCCAGGGCTTGGCGGCCGGCCCATCGTCAGTGCGCTGCCGCATGGGGGGCAAGGCCTGTGATGTCCCCGGTCTCGACGGGTCGCCATCTGGCAGCCCCTCTACCGCGTGGCCTGACCCAGGCAGCTCGTCCCGCACCGACCGCTCAGCCGTGCGACGAGCGGCGGCCGGCTGCTCTGTCGGCGCGCCAGTCCCACGGTCCAGCGCCTGGAGGAGGCCCGGGCCGCCGGCATCCCCCGGCCGCCGCGCCGGCACCGCCCCGCCCCCACTCGCGCCGCCCAGCAGGGAGGCGGTGATGCCGGCCAGGTCCATGGCGGTCGGCAGGCTGGCCAGCAAGGGCCCTGGCTTTGCTTGCTGCACGGCCACCTCTCCGGGCCGGGGTGCGCCGCCGGTGACTGCGCTCGCAAAGGGCTGTGCGGCGGCAGGCTCCCGCTGGGTCTGCATGCATCGGAGCGCATTGTAGGAAAGCTGAGTGGGGTTCAGAGTGCTGTGCCCCCGACTCACGAGGCTACTACCTGGCGTGTGCTGTCAAGTATGGTGGTACGCATGTGTGGGGGCTGAGAGCACGGGCCGACACCCCATTTCCACGCTTGCCTGGGCAGCAGGCTCTCTCGCGCGGCCGGCGTTGGCACGGAAGAACGTCGTCAGAGACCCCGCTGCCTTGCCGTAGTCGGGGAAGACCACTGTCTGCTCCCTCAGCCACTTGGACAGCTGATTTCGCATGTTCTGAGGGAGTTGAGGGTGGACAGGCCAAGGAGTCCTGTTAGAGGTGGCACATCCAAGGGACACATCCCCACCCCCCCCCCCCGGGCGCCGATTCCCCCTGTCTAGCCGCATGCATACAAGCCAAGGCGCCTCTCTTTCCAGAAATTTCCCCCCGCACCGGCGTCTTGAATCTCTCGTCGCAGAGGATGACGGCGCCGTAGTCATCCTTGTGTCGAATGACTCGTCCCATGGCCTGGTTGACCGCCCGCACCGCCTGCTGAACGTACCACTGATCCCCGGACAGCGCTTCAGGCCGCCCAGGGCCCCGAAAGGCTTCTCCCGGCATGCCGATGGGGCGCTTGGCCGCGCCCACCCGACCGCGCAGGCTCTCGTTCAGCACCTCTTGCTTGAGGCGGACCTGGAAGGTTGATGGGTGCTGAGTGAGCACAGATCTCAAGGGAGGATGTCAAGGAGGGGAAGAGGGCGCTGCCAGGAGTTCCCATGCCCTGATCTCATCAGAAATCCCACGACACGGGGCTTCGACTCATGCAAAATCCTGTTCAGGCAACCCCCCCTAGCCCCTCCCGCCCGTGCGTCTGCCTGGCCTGCCCCAGCACCCTGCTTCCTCCAGGGTGAAACAAACACCTTGGCATCTGCCTTGTTGGCGTATGGGATGCCGGTGATGATGACGGCCCGTCCCGCGCGATCCGAGAAATCGATTCCCTCGCTGGCCTTGCCCCTGCATGCCAAGACCGGGGTTGGTGGAGGGGTCTGCATGTGCACAGCATGCACTGCACGCCACCCAGGATCCCCCATCTGCAGCTGGGGAGCCTCTGGAGCACCCCAAAACCCTGCTCCTCACCACCACCTCGCCCCACCGGCAGACGGCAAAGAGGACAGCCCCGCCTGTCCCTGGGCCATCCAGTTTGGCCTGGAAATCCTGGACCGCCAGCACAAACTGGGCAGAGTCGCGAGGCTCCACCACCGGCGCCTTGTGCCTGCAGGGTCAGAGGCGAGCAGGGGATGGCGCTCTTGCCGGGCATGGCAGGGAAATCAACCCTGGGCGGGCAGCTCTGGTGAAGTGGCATTTACCGGCTCCTGTTGCATATGCCTCCCCGCCTCCCACTCCACCCAGCATCCAGCTCCTCACCGGCAGATCCTCTCCCAGATGGTGGTCCCGCCCGAGCTGGGTAGCTTCCAGCCCTCCACACAGCTGTCCAGGAGGCCATAGGAAGGGAAAAAGACGAGCAGGCCGTCAGGGACAATCCGGGCAAAGTTGACTATGGAGTTGCCGAGGTCCTCCCTGTCGTAAACGGAGTTGTGCTTTAGGCGTCGGGGGATGGTGGCCACGTCCACTCCTCAGACCGATTCCTGTACGCCTCGCCCAAAACACTCATTCTCTCCCCAACTCTGCATGGCACGATGCTGTACCGCACCTGTACCGCAGATCGCCGCGGGTCTGGAAGGAGGAGTTGAGGGGGTGCCCAGATGGACCCACCGGAACGCACCCAACCCAGACCTGTGCGCAGGATGGTGTGGCAGGCGAGAGAGAACGGGTCAGACTCAGAGGAAAACGAGCCAGGGGAGCTCGGCACACATTCAGGGGGAGGGGGGTGGGGGGGTTGTAGATCCAGAGATGCAGAATATAGCATGAGCCTGAGCCCCGCGCCCAATCCAGTACCCCAGGGCCCCCAGGAGAGCAGGCCTCCATGGAGGCACCCGATCACTTCAGCGCCCAGCTGCAACTGGCACGGCTCGCCTGGGACGGGTCGATGACGTGCGGGTTCTCCAGGCGGTGGGGAAAGACAATGGACAACTCTGCTGCAAATGATGCCAGGGGGGACAGGGTCCCAGACGTTAGCATGATGGCCTTGACCTGCATGTGAGAAGACAGGCAAAGCATGTGGCTGCATGGGACGTTTGACTGGCGCTTCCACCAGGCTTGAGCGGTGAGTCAGGGCCGTGTCTCTGATGTGAGAAATTTGAACAAGGGGAAAGCAAGGCATTCAGTCAGGCACCACCCTCGGCCCAGATCAAGCTACGCCCCGCCGGACCCCTTGCCTGCAGCTCCTTGAGCTGGAGCATGGCCTGGCCGGGAGAAAAGCACCAGAAGGAAAGCGTGGGCACCAGCATCTTGTTCTGCGGGAAGGTGGGATCGGGCACAGAAGTTGGCATGTCAGTTCCCCAAAGCTGGCCTTGGTCTTGGTGTCTGGTGCCCGGCATGCAGTATTTCAGCCCCTCTTTTCCAGTCTGCCGCAGTTGGTGCACACCTTGGCCTCCTCGCGGTGGATGTAGACTCGGTACCCGAGGTGGGCAGGCGGCTGGCCTGGCGCGGCGGGCGCGGCCGCCTCGAACGCCAGGGACAACGCCTCCTGCAGATTGTGCAGGCGGTAGGATGTAGACCGCGCCCCGCTCCTGTAGGGCGGTGGGGGGCGGGATGGATGAGAGGAAAGGTATCCCATATGCGTGAGTCAACAGTGTGGGTCCAAGAATGCACGCTGCCGGCTGCATCCCCCACCGCACAGCCCCCAAGATCCGAGGAGAGGAGCGGCGCCCGACATCCCCACCTGCGCCCGCTCTCGGCCGCGTCGCCCGCCAGCAGGTCCACGCCGGCCTCCAGGCAGGCAGCCAGGACGGGCCAGGTCTCCAGCGTCAGGTTCACCCTGGGCCAGGTTGGGAAGCCACCAGATGATGACATCTGATGGCATGCTGCAGGCTCGAGGAGTGGTGGCTGCGTCTCAGGGTCTGGGCCCTGATCCAGCGCCGCCTCCCACCGCAAGCCCAGTCCACCGAGGAAATACAGACCAAAATCATTCCCAGCGCACCTGCCAAACAGCTCGAATAGGAACGCCCCAGGGGCGGTGAACCCGGTGGAGGAGGGCACGGCCGTGGCGGCGATGCTCTGCTCCAGCTTCTTCAGGATTATCTGCACGTGGCGAGGGGTGCACATGGTCATCACGTCGGATGAGGAACACGGAGGGCGCAGCAAGGTCCGCCTGCCAGCCAGGCCCCACTACGCATGAGTCCCTCCAGCCTCACACAGGGACAAACCACCGCCGCCCCCTTGCCTGCGCTTGCCGCAGCTCGGTGGCCAGCTGGAGGTAGTTTGTCCCCTTTTCTGCAGGTGGTGCACGCACATGTGGGTGGTGTGAAAGGGTCAGCCCGGCCGCAGGACCGACAGTCTGAACCAGCTGCTTCCCTGGCACCCACAGGTCTCCCTGACTTCCCCAAACTCACCTTGCTTGCCGTGCTCGTTGTAGATGTTGCTCCCGCCATCACCCTTGGTGACGGCCAGCTCTGCCGCGGTCCCAAGTTCCTCGATGGACCCCGCCAGGACGCCGGCGGTGAGGTCGAAGGAGGCCGCGTCGGAACACACGCTCTGCGGCGCCAGGCATTGGGTGGGGGTTGGGCAGGGAGGTCAGCAACACATGCCTCGGCGGCTGTGCAGCGCTTGAGAGTGGGCGTTCCCCCCAGGCTCACTCTGATCCCACCGCTCAACACACCTCCACGTTGTGGGCTTCATCGAAAATGAGCACGGCGTTCTTCCAGGAGATGTTGAGGCTCTTGCGGCGCTGGGGGTCGATGAGGTAGTTGTACGGCACGAAAAGAATGTCGGCCGTAGTCGCATACTCCCTGCAGATTGTGGGGGCCGAGGGGCGTGGGGTCGACTCGGCCAGGAGCGAATCGTACAGCAGAGGGGACCCGTGCAGAGTCCATGTTTCCCAAACACCCTCCCTCCCCCTCTCCTCACACCTCCCCACCCCCTTCCCCCCACCCTCTCTCCGCCCTACTTGCTGAGGAGGAAGGGGCAGAGCTGGCGCTGGGTGCCCAGTCGCACTAGGTCCTCGATGTCCAGCACCTCCAGGCTGGCGTCCGGGTTGCCCTTGGCAAAGCGCTCCACGTCGTGCTGCCTGGGGGGAAAGGGGGGAGTGATCGGCAGATCCCGGGAAAAGGTCAGAGAGTGCTGGCCGAGGGTGCCCTGCCCGCCCGACCGCCACCCCACCACTTGCAGCCGCGGCGGCTGATGAGGGAGCGGCAGGCGCGGTTCGCCGCCTGACCGTGCAGCGTGGAGACCACCGGGTGCAGGCACGTGTGGGCGCGCGAGGAAAGAACGGCGGAGCGCACCCTGTGAGAATGTGACCGTGGAGGGAGGGAGGGGGGATTCCCGGGCTGCGCAGATCAGCAGGACTCCCAGGGCCGCGCGTGCACCCACGTCCTCCACAACAGCTCTGCACAGGCATGCGGGGAGTGCATGGCATCACACCCAGGGCCCTCCCTCCTCCACACCTGTAGCCAGAGGTGCGCAGCTCACGCATGACCTGCGCCAGCTGCGAGTGGGTGCGGGAGGCGTACACGACAGTGGGCAGCTCGCCCTTTCCACTCTCCGCCTGCTCAAGCTTGTGCTCCGCCCACGCCTCCTATGTTGTGTGAAGGGAAGCAGGAAGAGGGGGGTCCCTGATGCTCCAGGCAGGCAGTACACCCGACACAGCCACGGCAGGACCTTCCCGTGGGCTGGCCCGTGCAAGACTCAACCATCTCCCCTCGCTCGCTCCCCAGTTACAATAACGCACCCTGAGCCCCTGAACCAGTTGGCTGGCGTGAGGCTGGGCAGCGACCCTGGAAGCGTGCTCGGCCGCCTGGGAAGAAAGCGGGACCAGGTGGGGTTGGGCTATTCCAGGCACAATGGCAGGCTGCAGCAGGCACCGGGAACCCTGCTTGCTTGAGAACCCCCACAAAACTTACAGGCGACCCACCTCCTTGACAAAGTGGGCCCGCCAGGCCAAGGTCGCACAGAGCAGGCACAGCGTCTTGCCCGTGCCCGTGGGGCTCTCCAGCAGCGCATTCTCCCCCTGCAGGCTCGTGCGATGACTGCCTGGTGGGTGATCGCATGTATCCTCAAGCAGCCGTGCCTGTCGCCAAAGCCCACGTCCCCTGAGGGCCCCCACATGCGCACCGCTTGCAGGGCCTGGATGACCTTAGTCATGTAGGTGAGCTGGCATGGATAGGCTGTGTGAGGGAAGGTCACCTCCACTCCACTGCGATGTGAATGATTGATATGGAATGCTGCAAGGTATCAGTGCAGGAGCATGGCCAGGCGCCCTGCCAATGGCACGCGCACCTCAAGGTGTAAGACGGCATGGCAGGGACCAGCGAGGAGCACTCAGTCGAGCCTCACTGATCAATCAGTCCTTGCGCCATGGTTCAGAGGATCACGCATGCCCTATCACATGTGAGGAGTCCGCTGCGGTGCCGCGATCGCCATGCCGTGTTCCGTCTGGCGCCCTCTGGCGCACGGCCCCGGCCAATTGAATACGTCATGCTGGGGAACCTGCTGCGCGCCGATCCGGGAGCTCCCATAAACACCCTTCTGCGCGGACTATAGTTTCGAGACATCTCTGAACATCTCGGATACATTATTGTAACAACAGCGATTTGATATGGTACACGCACTGCTGAATTGCACGCCGGCGCCAGCCCTGCATCAGGGTAGGGCGTTCCTGCCCCCCCCCACGCCGGGTCCGAGCGGTCGTCATCGCCAGTGTGTGAGGTGCCAGGCAGCGCATAGATCCGTCCCGAGCACGTACCACACCCCGGTGCAGCCTTCAACCCCACTGTGAGGCAAAGGGTCACACCATGGATGGCACGCAGGGTATGAGTACCCCTGAAAGGAGGGCATCACAGTCAGTCCAGCCCCTTCCTCCCCTTAGGGCACGCACGCTGATTCCCTTCTGCCTGGGAATTGCAGCTGCCGGTGGCGTGTACTTCTTGAAGGCCCTCCGACAGCCAAGCCGTGGGGATGAGCTGCCACAACACCGCTCGTCGTTGGCGTCCTACACCGCGGCTGAGCATGGAGTGTATCAGTACGAGCCGCAGCAGGACTATGTCGCCGCCCTGGCCCAGACTCGTCAGACGGCTCACATAGAGAAAGCATCTGCCTTTCAGTCGGATGGAGAACCGGCAAGGTGGGTGGAGATACGGTGGGTGTGATGAGGCATCGGCGAAAAGTGCCATTTCCATGATGCTCAATGCCAGGATTGGCATCTGCTGCTACCTTCCGGCTGACGATACAGACTCTCTCCATGTCTGTTGTGCACAGAGCACTGGCGGAGCTTCGAAGGGCTCTGCATGAAAACCGCTGCTGCCGCCGGCCTGTTAGCAGCCCCTCCTGCGGGGCTCCAGAGGTAGATGGTTGTGGTTGAGTTTGTTCCTGGATCTCTGTGGGTGTATTGATCAGGGTTCATTCCCCTAGCGGCAACAGGATTCTTTGAAGGTATACCCAAGGACTCACTGAATACTTTGCTCATGTATCTCGTCGCTTTCCCTGCCTTTCCTGTTGGCAGCTGGAGGCACTGTATCGGCTTCACCTGCTGCACACTGAGGATCCCTCAGACTATGCGACCCTGCTGCAACTCAGGTGAACTGGCAACTGGGGTGTAGATGGGCAGACGATGCGAGCGAATGATGTGACTAAACGCCTGGTGTTCCGGTTTTCGTTGGCAGGAGCATGGCAGGTGGCCTTTCATCCCATGGAGAAGGCTATTCTGAAGCTCAACCCAAGAGCATGCTCACTTTGCAGGAACATGCTTGGCATCAGCACGCAAATTGCTGCCCAGATAGAGGGCGAGGTTGCACAGCTAGGGGCAGCCTATAGCATCTGATGGGGGATTCAACACATAATTACCGGCGTATATGTTCGGGAAGGATCTTTGCAACGCGGGACTGTATTTCCATTCAAGGTTAGCGCGAGTGAGTGCAGGAGCTCCGGGATTCCCACCAGGTTATCTGTCTGGTCGCGTACCATTGTTGCGCATCGAGTCCTGCAGTCCTGCCAGGCATGATGACGATCCAGCCTTGTAAGTATACGATCTAATTCAAGAAGCTACACTACCAGGCTCATTAAGGTACGACACCAGGCTTGAGTTTCTGTGTTTAATACCGCGTACGCGGGCCCAAGTACTTCGCCCACCATGCTCCTTACCCACCTCCATCGATCTCGTAATTGGGCTGTGCATGCTGCAAATGCACGGAGATGTGCAGTCCAGCTACCAGCTGCGAAAACAAAGGGTAGTACTGCAGCTTAAAAATTACGCAACCTTCGTGTTCCGGCCAGAGGCTGGCTCCGTCCCGCGGATAGCTTCTGCATCCTCAAGAGGCTGGGATGGCACTGCGAATGCCGTTGTGTGTCGAGTACTAGCCAAAGCATGCCCCGTAAATGGAGTGAATACTTGAGAATTTGGAACCATGTCTCCTGAAGAAGTCCCGGACTCAGAGGATGCCGTCGATGGGAGGACTTCCCTCCTAACCCCGTCGGAGGCCCCAGCGGAACCTGAAGGGAGCATCAAAGGGGCCCCTCACTCGCCCAGGGATACCCATGATGCAGATAAACCACATATCCACACTGGAGGGCGTCGTCGGAGGGATGCTCCGGGGTGTCAGGTGAGACTTATGCGACGGTAGGAGCAGCGGCAGGGAAGGGAGGCGACCGACAGCCTTCCTACCAGGGGCCTAGTCCCATTTCGAGCCCACGCCCCCATTGCGTAGGTCTGCGGATGCGCACTCGGGAACTTAAGGTCTTACTACCAGGTTTGCACCGGGTTTGGGGGGTGTTCCTGTTTCGCGGGCAGTCCTGGTTGCCGTGCCCTCGGTTTCTACGCAACGCACCGCGATGCCCCATCCGGGCGGCTCCGTCTTACCCCCCAATCCCATGCTTCCTCGCTGAATTTGGTAGAGGTACAGGATCTGCGTGCCTTGTGCTACCGCTGAAACCATCGATAGGAATGGAGTGAGCATGCGCTTCTGCCAGCAGGTGACCTTGCTGGGGTCCCTGCGGTCTTGTGGGGATATCTGGGGAGCATGGACTCCAGCCACCCAAAGGCTTAGCAGACATGGCCACAGCCCAAGCAGAAAAGCCTGTGCGAGGGTGTGATTTGAATGGTAGTCAACCTGCCACTGCCTGCTCAGGCTCTCAACCTTGCGCCTGCCTGCCCACATTGGATAGTGAAAGCCGCTCTCTCACACGGAAGCACCTCCCCCATTGCCCTGTTCCTCGCGAGGCTGGCCCATCTTGCCCAGATGTTCAACCGTCGATCCCCACCCCCCTTGCGCCATCACTGCAGTGCGGCAGGTTCCAGGAGCTGGCCGCCTTCGAGGGCCTCATGCGCACTTGCCGGGCGCGGCTGGACAAGCACGCCGCACGCCGCCGCCGCGCCAACCAGCTTCCGCACGCTAACCCTGATCCCGACTATCGGCTGCCCAAGTCCCAGCGCATCACCTACTCTGCCCTCACAGCGCCCAGCTCTGGCGGGTCCCCGGACCGCCGGCCTCCACTCAGCGCAGAGGGCGCTGTCAGGGACGAGGGGGACGCCGTGGAGGTGAGGATGGCGACGGCCGCCGCGCGGGAGGCCAGCGACACCATACCGCCCCTTGTCATCTCCAGGCCACTGCACATCCAGCTGACCACGGCGGGACAGGAGGCTCCTGCTGAGGTGGGGGAGCTGGGGGGTCGCTGTCCTGCCCTGCATGATTTGGTAATGCGGGCGTGTTTTGAGGGGATGTGGGAGGCTGGGGATGGCAGGCGTGTTGCGAGGCAGCTCTTCCCCCTGCCATCAGTCAACGCCATGCACGTGTATCATCTTACAGGCCATTGCGCGTGCCTCCAGAGGTGGCAAACCTCTGCACCTCAAGAATGGGCTCTGGCACCCCGCCCCACCCCCCCTACCCCACTCATTTGCTCCTCCACCCTCCACAGGTGCCGGACCCGGCGCCCTTCCAGCCCTGGCAGAGCGCTCGGCAGGAGGTTCCCAAGGACGAGCTGTACCTGTCGGCCATATCTCGCCTGGCCCAGATGGCCGCCGGGCACGGCTCCACGCATGCAAAGGAGGTGGCGGCGGCGGAGCTGGCTGCGCATGGCGTGGAGGCCTCGGAGGGTCACGGCAGCCATCCAACAGCGGTGCCCTACCTCGACTCTCAGGTGAGATTTGTTGGGTGGAAGTTGGTCGGTGGTGGTGGGGGGAACCATCCAGTCCGAGTCCTATGCCGCCCTGCAAGAACCCCTGCGCGGCACCCTGACACTCGGCTGCCTCCATCACCCTCCCCGCAGACGGTGGTGGCGCTGCTCGCCGCAGCAGCAGGGGTGGACATCGGGCCCGGCGGCGCCCCGCGGCCCGCAGAGGCGCCCCCCCGCGCGTCCTCGCCCGGCCCCAGCCAGGCCCTGCATAGGCCCCTGTCCTCGCTGGATCAGCTGGTCCGGCGGCTGCGGCGGGAGCGCAGCTGGGGCGCGGCGCGCGAGGGCTCCACGCCCTCCGGCACCTCCCAGCACCTGGCGGCGGGGGAGATTGGCGGCCGCGGCCCTCACCGCTCCTGGCCCTTCCCCTCCTACCACCAGCAGCCGCCACAGCAGCAGCAGCGGGTGGGGTCGGGCCCAGGGTCCGAGCCCCAGCCCGTTCGAGGCTTCCAGCGCATCCTGTCGATGCAGGGGTCCAGCGACCCTGCGCGCAACCCCATGCCCTCTCCCTTCAAGAACCCAGAGGTGCAGGTGGGGACGCTGGGCCGGGGCGCCGACTCGCGCCCCGGCCCTGCGCGACGCAGCAGCGACGGGTCGCCCCACGCTCCGGTGGCTCACCAGGCCTCGCCCTCCTGGGAGCTGTCGCGCGCGCACGGCAGCGGCGGCGGCGGCGGCGGCGGCGGCGCGCCGTCCCCCGCCGGGCCGTCCCCCGCCGGCCGGGCGCCCGCGCCGGAAAGCGCGTCGTGGCCGGGCCTCGGCGTGCAGACCTCGCTGCGCTCGCGAGTCGGTGCGGCGCTGGGCGAGTCGCTGTCGGCGCTGGAGGGCTGGCTCAGCGTGCTGGCCGTGCTGGGGCCGGAGGACTCGGCCGCCGTGCTCTCAACGCTACCGCGCGGCCTCGTCGGCCGCGTCTCGGCGCTGCTGAGCAGCCTGGCGCCGCAGGGGACCCTGCGCGAGGAGAACCAGCCTCACGGTGTGCACGCCGATGACGCGGGGCCTGGGCCGCAGCACGAGGCCGGCGCTGCCAAGGCCCCGCGCATGGCCTCCCAGCCCAGCCTGAGGGCGTCGGAGACCTCGGCGTTTGCCCCTCTGGCGCCGTTGGGGGGGTCACCACCCCATGGCTGAACAAGGGCGAGCCGCGTGCACCCTCCCAGGATTCTTTTGCACTTGCCTTGCTCCCAAGCACATGCCAAGAACGTCCGCTGGCCGGGCATGCACCCTGCACCACAGCGGGCTCGCTCCATGCACCTCTCTTTTCCGGACCCTGCCCAGCACTCACCCCACCGCCCGTGCAGCCGAGGCAGCCTTGCAAACTTGCACCATGCCTGCCCCACGCGGCCTCCTTCATGCCCCCAAGCGGCCTCTTTCCTGCCCTTTGCTGCAGAGCGCTCCTCTCCCCAGGCACTTGGAACTGAATTGGGGCTCGCTGAGCCCCTCCCTTCTCCCCCTCGCTTTCGCAACCCTCTTCCCCCCGACACTGATGAGAGTTAGACATGGTAACAGCGATTCTTCACAGGGTGAGCGGGGACGGGTGCTGGCCCGGCCAGAGGCACGGAGCAGACGCCCCACACGGGCCCCACAACACGGTTCTGGGAAAACTGGGGCCTGGTCGAGCCCCCGAAGCTGGAGGGCTCACTCATCGGTGACGCACCCTCTGGCCGCCGAAGACACCAGCTTGGCATACTTGTACAGGGTCCCGCTGGTTGCGCGCAGGGGCGGCGCCGTCCACGCCGAACGCCTGGCGGTGTGGGATTGGAAGGGATGGTGAGGGCCGGCACCGTGGGTCTGGGGATTCCAGGGCACCAGCGGCAGCGCGCACGTTCGAGCCTTGGGCTTCCACGGACCGGTTTTCCTGAATATACGAGTCTGGGCTCCCCCGGGGCAGCATGCATGCCCTCGTCCCCAGCCAAACACAGCGCGGCAACCTCCCCACCCGCCCACCTCCTGGCCCACTCCTCCTCGGAGACGTTCAGGACGTCCATGACGCGAGAGGAGGCGTCAATACGGATGATGTCGCCGTCCTCAACCTGTGGAATGGTGTGACGGAGGGCATGCGGGTGGGAAAAGGAACTGGGTGGCTGGCAGGACGAGCGGGTGCGGAACGTGACAGGGCAGGTGCGCATGCGAGCGCTGTGCCAGCCCTGGCTGGAGCAGCAGTCATTCCCCAACCTCCTCATAAAAGTCCTCACCAGGGCAATGGGGCCGCCCTCCTGCGCCTCGGGGGTGACATGTCCGATCACGAAGCCGTGGGAGCCGCCGGAGAACCTGCCGTCGGTGATGAGCGCCACGTCCTGGCCCAGACCCGCGCCTGCGATTGGGGGAAGCTCAGATCGTGAGCCTGTGTACCTCTCAAATGGTGGCATGCAGGGGTTCACAGGGCCCCCACGCAGCCAGCCCTGCGCCTGCCGCAGGACACGGCCTGGGTCCAGGATGGCACCCCACTGCCTGCCGCCTCCATCTTGTTACACCGATGGCACCACCACCAGCCCCGCCCACTCACCCATGATGGCAGAGGTGGGCGTGAGCATCTCTGGCATGCCTGGCCCGCCGCGGGGGCCCTCGTACCGGATGACGATGACCTTGCCCTTGAAGGCAGCCGAGTCGGCCTCCAGGGCCGCCAGCATGGCCTCCTCTTGCTCGAAGCAGAGGGCCGGGCCCTCGAACAGCAGGCCCTCCTT